GAGTAACTGACAAGCTGTCAGGAAATTATTGCCTCAAGGCTTATTTAAGTGTGCAAGTACGTCCTCTATGTCTAATAACATCTGTGCCATTTATATAGGCAGGACAGGAATAAATAGCAGGTAGTGTTTTCATGTGTCCTTTGCTCTACAGTTGAGATCCACTTCCTTTCTGTGCTTGATTTTCTTACCCTTATCAGATTTGTTGAACTGTTTTACATAACAGTTCTTCATATTAATTTCAACAGGCTTACATATCTGCAGCCTCTGAGATGTTAATGCCACCTTTATTATTTCTTCGCTGCCTACCTCAGTAGCTCCACAGCACTCCAGAGGCCATGAATCTTCAAATCCCCTGGCTTTGCACACCCAAAAGTTTTCTAATAAAACATAAGTAGAGGCCAAGAGAAACAGGACAAAGTGGCAGCTGGAATCCTCCTCAAATGTATTACATTCCCAGTTGCCTCCCAGTTAAACCGCCAATCTACTCCATTGAGTTTCCTTCTACTGCAGCTATAATCACCACTACACAAGCAGATGTTGGCAGGCAGAAAGTTCACATACATGACATGTGTTATGGTATGAAACCATATGTCTGGCTTCTTGACGTAAAGCAGGGAGAAAAACAGAGGGAAGAAATATTGAGTAAAATTATTACAGCGATCTAGGAAATACCAGAAAACGTGTTAGGTCCATGATGGATTTTTTAAAAACCATGGTTTTTAATGGCATTGCTAACGAAGTAAACAATTTAAGTAGTAAAATGTGTTGCATAATGCAATGAGAATAAAGTGTGGAAGATCTATTTAAATGAGGCCTACTATTAGATTTCACACCTCAATCCAATTCTATTGCCTTGATCAGCCAAACCAATGTATCCATGGAGATTTTATATTTTGATTTGGCCTGTTTGGTCTAAATAACCATCCATGATAAAATGAACTCACACTGCAACATCAGATTCACCAGACCAGGTTGTAAGAGGTCTTTGACAGAAAACCCCCAAATTGATACCTTGAAAGCATGCATGCATCATGTGACCGCTAAACCACATGCAGTCAACTTTCTGATAGCATTCTGTCTCCCAAACTCGGTTCAGGGGAAAGAAAACAGAATATGGTCTTCATTTATCTGGAATTTCTCTCTGTTTCCCAGCTTGGGGATTGTGCCAGAGGACTGGGGTATGGCACAAAACCCTAGCCTTAGGGAATTTGGGAAGGAACCAGAGGGCAGTCATGAGTCAGACAGATCTAGGTTCACTGGATGCCTCTGTAGCAAAGTATAAATCCAGGACACTTAGTGCATACAACCCAGAGAGTGAAAAGGTACAGTTAACATTATGAGACACTTTGGATCATCGTGCCAAAGCATCTGAATAAAATCTTCCCATGAAGGTATGCATGTGTTTCATGTAAGTGTGTTTGTGAGATCTGTGTTTAAATGTAACAGTTTCTCTGGGTCTGACTCAGGCTAAAGACCAGTTAACTGGGACAGCTTCTCCAACTGGGAACAAAAGCAATTTCCACAAGTTGGAAAAAGTTGCTTTTTGGGTCATTGGTTAAGGTTAATAATAAGACTTATTTTTTAAATTCAAATACTTACATTTAAATGGATTTTCATCCTACATCTTAGTTTAGTTAGTTCATCTTCAGAGGTTTCCGGAAGTGACGGAAAAACAGCAGAGAACATAACAGAAAATCTAAACAGATTAGCTAAGTTTCCTCTACTCTTTTCTGGCAGTCTGGTGTTTGATAGAAATGATCCCCCAGGAGGCAAAACAGAGTGAAAGGAAATTGGAGTTGGAGGCACAGTGAGGTCTGTTTGTTTTTATAATAGGGATTTGAGCTTGACTGAAGGTATACCCTCAAAAAATCTCCTGCTGGTCCTTGTTCAGTTTCCAATGCACACTCAACATTTCCTTCAAATTTCCAAACGTGTTCTCATGTAGCTTCCATTATTACTTCATGCAGTGTATGTGTGTTGTGTTCACTTCAGAAACAGACACATACACACTCACAGTGGTTTGGTGAACAGAATGGATCAGTTAAATGGAGTTGAATTTAATTATATTGAATTTAAGCAAGATTCAAAATTAATTATATTTCCAGTGGTGTCAGTGCCAGGACCAGGGCCAGACATGGTCGTCACCATATATTTGGTTGCAAATCAGTCACATACATGCTGTGCCAGGCCTGAACTGCTACCATCATAAGCTTTAGTCTGGTCTTCATAAAAAGAAATGCATGGTGAAATTGACTGAAGTTGGGTGATTGACACCATCAGTCAACAACACATTCCACTGTTTGGACATACTAGACTGTAAAACACCTTAGTTGTTTTGGCTGCATGTTCAGGGTCATCGTCCTGCTGCATGACCTTCTCTTCGTCCATGTCTGACAGATGAGGTGGAATGCCTTTGATTATGAGATGTTCTTCTGCCCTCCATCCTTTACAATTTCCATCATACTTGAACAGATTGATCTTGGTCTCAGCTGTCCATTACAGTTCATTTCAAAACTCTGCAGGTGCAGTGACCCAGTTGCAACCTGGTCTTTTTATTCTTGAGGCTTGTGATCCCTCACACAACTCCGCCCACATCCTTTCCATGGTCTACCAGGTCATCTGCAACTGCTGGGCTCACTTGTAATTTCTTACTTCTTAACCAAAGAGTTGTATTCCAACATATCTCATATTTTGGCTGATAGATTCATTCTCTTTTTTTCAGCCTCTCAGCGGTCAAGTTTACCAGCACTGACACTTCTTTAGTCCTCATACTGAGAGACAACAGAATCCAAAGGCAAAACAGCCAGAATCAACTTCAGAGCAGACCGAGAGGCACTTAAGCAGTCAATCATGCAGTCACGTTTGGGTGAATGGAGAGAGAGAGAGAGAGAGAGAGAGAGAGAGAGAGAGAGAGAGAGAGAGTATAGTTCAAGTATAGTACAGTTCCTTGAGTCTGTGCCCCTAACTGGCCCCCCACCCAAAATGCTTCAAAATCCAGATGTAGATTTGCAGAGACTCCAATTACACACATGCACACAAACACACACATATTCAATTAGAGTCTAATTGTAGCAATTATTCACTGAAAACTTTTAGACAGTCACACTTGAAAAAGTCAACACCTGTTAACATCATAAGAGGTCCACCATCCATGCAGAGAATGACAATAAATGATATATTCCCATTTTTCTATGATACCATTTCTTACAGAAATAACTTACTAAAAACATATATATATATATACTGCATATCACCTCAGGGATGTACACAATGAGCACAGTTACGTAAACTAAACATACTAACTAAGATAATGATATAAAATAATATTATAATGTAATTGCTTACAGTTTTTCTGACCTTGCATTAAAGGTCTTGACTTGAAATCTATGTACAGTATACTTGGATAAAAGACATAGCCTATAGCTCTCCCAAAAAATATTATATTATATTATATATAACATTATACTGCAAATGGGAAAGCAATACTCTTGTGTGGCAGCAGCACTGTGTGTAGTAGATGGCCTTGAGGGGGTTTTGTCTAGACCACAGGATTATAAACCTCAGAACAGTAACTCCCCTGCCCTACAATAATAATGCATTGGTCCATTGGGCCTGGAAACTGCAGCACAAATTGATCCTCATAAGTGATGTGAGCATGTTCTCAAAATAATGCTAAAAACATTTCCTCTGGGTCTTAGTAGCACCGACTGGCATCTCCTTTTAGTCTCCATTGTCAGGGCATGTTGGGCAAAAATACCTTTGTTATTGAACTTGAACAGCAGCACCTCATCTTTGCCTTGGGGCAGACTGTGATCATCTCCACACTGACACTTATGTAACAAAAGAGTGCACTCAGTGGAGTGTAGATCCCCACCAGGGAACAATATACATTTTCTGATATAGATGTATGCAAAGTTTTCAATAAAGTTTAATACATTTTTGTATAGTATATTCTCAGTTTTCTTTAAAGGTTATGTAAGATTTACGAGAATCTATTGGCAGAAATGGAATATGATCTTCATAGATATGTTTTCATTAGTGTATCATCACCTGAAAATAAAAAAAAATGTTTTCGTTACCTTAGAATGAGCTGTTTTTATCTACAGACACTGTGGGTCACCTGCTATGGAGGCCGCCATGTTGAACATGTTTCTACACACTAGACCTTGAAGAATGGCATTGTACCTGAGCATCTGGGGTTCGCCTATCTGTATAAACTTAATGAGGAAACAATAAACAAGACAATCAGTCAAAAACTTCCCCTTTCTCACCTCCCAAACAAAGAAAAGTTTAATCTCACTCAATTGTCCCTCTTGGCTTCAATACAGTTACTTTATAAACCCGTAGTCCACCAGTAAAAAGAAGAAGGTAGTCAAGATGGCAAAGATAAGAAAAATTAGGATTTGTTCATTTCATTTAACTTTAGTGGATCATCAGGTATGGATGGTTCAAGATTAGACCAAACTTGATGTCAGTTTTTGAGCCATGTCAAAGGCCAAAATGTGGCCTACAACAGGCCACTACTGGCCGGTTAAGAGGAGTAAGGAGTCAGCAGTCGGTATTAGGGCAGTAAATAAAATAGCTTTCTCAGAAATTGTGAATCAATGCAACCATGAGAGCTCCTTGAGCAGAGTCATATGTGTAAAAATATCAGGCCGATGAGTCCAGTATTGGAGATAAGCTATGGACAGATACCAACACAGACACAAGGACACACACCTGACCGAATGCATGATCCCCTCCAGGCTTATGTCTGGAAGGCTCCAAATGTATTAGATTATTGTGAGGTGTGAAGTACTGTGCTTCTGTTTTATAAATTACAGCAACAAATAAAGTTGTCATCATACAGTTGGATTATTATGCAGCATCAAACAATAATTAATGGCCCAGGGGCCAACATGAATGATCTCTTTTACTACCTTAAAGGAGCCACCACTGTTTACATGTCATCAACAGGAACACAAGCACAGCAGTTTATCTCAGTGAACACACACAGTAGTGCTGCTGCATCTGACAGAGGGGGTGTTAAGGGAGGCGTGGGCGTGAACCCAAACCTCTCCAAAGCCCTGTATTTTTGATTCCAGCTTTTAGAAGGCGAGGTGCCTTTGAGAAGCATCGTTACGCTCTTTGCTCCAGAGATCACCTTCACAGAGCACTCTGAGCAGTTTGCGTTAAGGAAACCGCAGTTTCCTCTCTTTTCAATGCGCAATTTGGAGATAGGATTTATGACATGAAACTATAAATATGAAAGAAACTGTGCAACAAACAACTTCAGATTCTCTATTTGCTATTTGACGCCTGGACCATAAGAGATGAGCTGCACATGGACATCTACACTGAAGTTAATGGATTTTCACTCGATGCTGGTGGGAGATTAATTTGACAAGTGCGCTGCATCCTCATCAGGCTATGATTCATTTTGGGAATATCTGACATGACCAGGATACTATCCGTCCTCGCGAAAATCATGCTTTGCAAAATACTGGCACTGATGCTCTTACAAGGTACGTTTGAGGTCAACAAGCTCCAACAAAACCTTTACGACACATTTATATATGTATTCGTTCATTTATCTATTCACACGTCTGATTATTTCTTTATTACGAAGCTTATTTCTAACATGTTTCTCGTACTAAACAAGGTGTCTTTGATGCCTCGGTCATATCCGAGGTCAGCCCCCGAGGTCTCCCAGACTCCAGCAGGGTGTCTGGCTCCGGGGGATCCGCGGGTTTGCAGCTGTCTGAGGCAATGGAGGCGAAGTCCAGACCCAAGCGCTGCACTTGTTATTCCTACAAGGATAAAGAGTGCGTCTACTACTGCCACTTGGATATCATTTGGATCAACACTCCCGAGTAAGACATGCTTTGTTAAACAGTATACTGTTAAATACTTACTATTAAGATAATTAATAACCCACTCTGCTAATGCGCAATCATCTCCGGACTTTGATAATTGCCTATAATCGTCTTTTGTCGGTGGGGGTAATGTGTGGGTAATTATGCAAAAGTTAGATTGGCATGTGGCTAGTTTGTGCAACTCAAATGGGAGTCGGGCACTGAAGCCAAGACAGTGTAGTAAGTCACGCCCGGTAACTACCTCCCTGAGGCGCAAGACGCAGTCCTGGTTTAAGTGGTGGCAAGCCCAGCAGAAACTATGTGCCCTGCGAGGTCAAAGTTAGACATCAGAGAAGAGGAGGTTATTATTGCATAATTTAATGTGCTCTGTCTCTTGTATTGTCTGCTTTCTCACTGTTTCATCCTTTCAGTGCCAAATATATAAATCATAATCTGCAGGATTCTGATATCCATATAATCTCATTATTTAACATTAACATTTTGGTGATGGTTAATGTCCATGTTGTGTGTGTGTTCCTGGCATAATTAAATCAAACAGCATTATGTGATACTGATGTCTTTATCAAAATACTTCCTGCCCCATGATCATTAGATTCAAGGTTGCATATATTAATTTGCATGCATGTCCCATGTGCTTCAAAGGCACCAGAATCACCAATGCATGCTCTAATCAAAAATAGTCAAATCCTCGCTCCCTGCGCTCGCAACTTGAACAGAAATCACTGGTCAAGTCTCATTAATCATGCTCTGTGAAGATGTGAGAAAAGATGTATAACTCCCCTGTCATGATCTAACAATGTCTCAGGGCTCTCAAGCTGCTGAACTACTATTAAACTGCAGTGTGGAGGTTGGAAGGCTGAATGGACAGAGATCAAAGAGAAATCTGTCATGCAAAGCTAATGGTCTACAGGGGCTGGTGAGCAATAGGCGCAGTTCTTCATTTCCTCCATGGTGGACCAAATTTAAATGCTTCACCATCACTCACAAAGGCTGGATTTGTTCAAAGGGAGTTTTCTGGTTACCAAAGTTGTACCACAATAGTTAATGTGGTATTGTGGCGTGAATTCGATTTTTTTTGTTGTTGTTGCATTTAGTCTGCTTTTATACAAAACCAAATGAATTCATTAAAAGATACTTAAACTTACTCACAATCTAGATTAATTAACTTTTCCTTTAGAGAGCTGGCCTGTGGCACAAACATCTTAAGCTGTCATGTATGGGCAAACACTGAGGAAGACAACATAATGAAGGTATTATTATTAATATGGTGGAAGTTATTCAGTGAATTGGTCCTTGGACCAGCAGTGCAGTCATGTATTTATATATCTGTACAGATATGTAGATGTCCAGAGGCCTGTCCTGGCCAGAGGTTCGCTTACTGCACCTCAGGAGTTATGTTGGCTCTGCAGGTGATGAAGAACCATGAGAAAGCGAACATTACCAGCTGGCATTATTTCAGTATGTGGCATAAAGTGTGTTTAACATGTGGCCTAGCATACCACAGATTAGTAGCAATACCTCAAAATATATTTTCCAACACTTTTTTGTTTTCCTGTCTTTGTTTTGCTCCATCCTAACCGCATATTTAAATCCTTGGCAAGACAGCAGGAAAGCATTCTTTCTTCCTCTGTCTTCTTGTGCCAAGACTGCTGTGGGCTGTTTCAGGTAAACAGCACACTTTATTACTCCTTAGCAAGTTGGGACAAATTGACATAGTTTAAAGACTGAGTAGGATATTGACATATACCGCAACATTAATATAAAAGCAATGAGTGTGTGCTCACATTGTGTATAACACTGCATGATGATTATTTTCCTTATTGATTAATTTTCTTGAATAACTGATTTGTTGTTTGGTCCATACGATGTCAGAAAATTTATTTTTAATAATAATTTAAAATAATCTTGTTCTGTTAACAAACTGACACAATTCAGTTTAATGTCTAAAGAAACCAGATCTTATCCAGATCTTATCTTCCGTCAGATAAGAGTCTCTATCTGATGTCAGGCCCTTCTGTGATACATTGAGACAAAACTTGCAGCAGCCACTTCAGATTGAACAGGTTGAAAGGCCTTTTTACCCTGAGGTCATGCAGGTTTACAGTTGTAAAGAGACAGGCTCCAGGATCAGACGAAACACAGTGGAAGCAGCAGGCGGGTAGTCAGCAACACTACTCAATCAGGTATAAGCAGCAGGCAGTCTGACACAATCTACGGGGAAAGCCATTCAGAAAATATACTGTTGATGAAACGTTTATTTCAAATGGATCAGGGTAGTCTTTTTGGCATCATTACCAGATCTCCCTTTCAGCTGTGTACAAATGCCTCTGCGATATTCAAATTGTTTTAGAACACCTTCCTCTTTGCCCCAAGACCTTATAGCTCCTTACGCCACAAAAACCTTTCTTTTTCTTTTTTACAAAATCCATCACAGATGGTCAAGAACAGATGAGTGGAAAGAGGGAGAAAATGGAGGGAAGATAAGTGATGCCAACCTGACACTCACTCGAACAGTGGTATCCAGATGGGAGGATTAGGGCTAGAACTGTCAAGTAGTATACCGTGATGGATTTTCCGACTTTGTTAATTTGATCTATGGAAGTTATATTTCAAGTTTATTATTCACTTTCATAAACCTTTCTGGCCACCTTTGTTTTTCCATTACCAATTCCCAAAACATTTAATCTATAACAGAATGTAAAATATGAGGCAGATACAGTGAAATCTGTTTCTGGACAACCATACAAACCTTTAATGCAAATCTTTCAAAAGGCTTTTTTGTGCAACTTTTCAAAACCTCATGTTAACCTAATGTTTAAAAAAAGAGAGATTCTCTGCTCAGATCATGAATTATGACGTGACTTCTGGCTTGAGGGCTACTATAAGATACTGTATGTCCAAGCACTCTCTAAAGCTAATAATATCTATATTTATTTATTTTCCTCTGTGTGTTCAAGAATGTGATCTATGTCACATTTATACTGTTATTGAAAAAGATGGCGTCTGTTTCTTGAACTTCTCAGACGCACTGTGCCCTATGGAATGTCGAGCTACAGAGGACCACAGCGAATCAGACGTGCTGTTGGTGAACAAGGAACTGAACAGGAGGAGGCAAAGACTCCGCGCTGCATTTGTGCTGTGCTTGACACCGACACTGAGTGCCTTGACTTTTGTCTGTCAAGGTCAGTCTGATTCTTTCTGTAAGAATTACATTCACTGGATCTTTATCATTAGACATATTAACATGAACACATCAAGCTCATTTTAAGTGAAATTAATTAACTGAGTTAAAAAAAAAAAAAAAGGCCAATTTTGGACATTTTGTTTTGCAGTGCATTGCTTTATCTACAAAAATAGTTTGGAAGCAGCAACATTCAACATGTCTAGTTCAAAATGCCATGTATCACATTTGTCTGCATGCTATTACTCAAATGTAAAGCAACAAAGAATAGATAGAGAACGTACAGTAACTAAACAAAAATGCTATCATTATTTTCCTGGCATGCAATTATGAAAAAAAGACACAGCTCCTGTGAGTCAAAATTATCGAACTATGATTTATATTTATATTTATAACCAAACATTCTGAGAAGTTGGACATTTTTTCAAAAAAAAGCCCATTAAACCTATGAGACAGAGCCATGGGGGTGAAGAGAGCCAGGGCAAACCATAAATCTGTTTTATGTTTTAATACAATTCTGTAAGTAAGGCTGTTTTTTCTTCAACCTGTGTTGTTGGAGCTTTAATATTTCAAGAATTTACAAGTAGGCTAAGTTGTGCTAGAACCTCAACTCAGCATTATTTTTTGTTCCAGTCAATAGATACATGTCCCTAGTTATTAGAAAACGTTGAATGAAATACCAGAAACTGCAAAAATGTATTACCTTAATCCACTTAAATATTTAAATCCTGAGAATCCATACTTTGCTGTATATACATTTTTACTTCATAATTTGTTTATAAATTTTACACATCAAGTTCAGTTTACTCATTTAGAAAATAGAGGGGAAAAAATAGGCTTGGAGACAACACATTTATAACACAGAATTTATGTGTCACAAGCGGGGTGTATGGAGTTTGAAATTATTTATCAGGCAAGGGGGGTCTGATGAGGAGACACTATTGGTTGCATGATGGGAAAGGTATGATCCAGTGTTGTTGAAGCTTGACCCATCCTAGGGACAAAAAAGTCTCAGCCTACTGTCTCTTGTGATCCCCGCATGTTTATGGAAGTGCAGTACTCAGTCACTGGATATGCCCTTTAATATTGCAGATTTAATGTGAAATGTTCTCTTCAAAGCCCCCTGCAGGCAGCACCAATCAGGAGTCTCCACAGAGTCCCTGGACCTGGATGACACTTTGACGTCTCTCCATCTTCGGCTCTTCTCCTCGTGGGAATGGACCCATCCCTCCTTTTCAGCCCCTTCAGTCTGCATTTGGCACTCTTGCCTCCACAGGTACACTCACATTCAAGGAAAGAGCTTTGGAGTTTGACACAGCCGACATTCCTCAGCATCATAACTCTTGGAGCAAGTTCCATCAGGCCGAGTGGTTTCAAGAACTCTTCAGCAAATTCAGTACAGATCCCTGGAGGCTATCCCCTTTTTGTTCCCCCCTCAGTGCAGCATGAGGATTATTTTCACCATAATAGCCAATGACCTTGCTTCTGTCAAGCTTGATCAGAAAAACCTTTTGTATTTTATACCTAGTAACAGTGTTCCGGGCTACTTAACTCTCTCTTCCAAAACAAAGAGATCAGCTTGTATAAATCTTTCAGGGACAACAAAGACATAGACAACAAAGTGCCAAGAGGAGCCATGGAAAGGAGCAAGGCATGACATTGTGATATCACACCTTAAAAAAATATTGAAACATGCAAACAGAAAAAAGGGGAAAGCTTTTGACTGTCCGTGTTATGGAGCATATTATTGAGCTTTGATTTGTGAGACTATTTACAGTCCGTCTGGAAAGCATTCATACCCTGACACTTGGCATATTTTGGTCATATCACTTTTTTTCATCAATAATATATCAATCCATCACCCAACCATCAGTCATATTCGTTGTGCTTTTACCTCACCGCCCCTGGCGAACATTCACTCTGTAGTAACTGTATGACAGCTTAAACTGGGGTGAACTTATTGAACCATCTACAGTTGCGTCTAGCCTAAATTGCTTGGAGCTGTGGATTGCTTACCACATGTTAAAAAGTAAGGCTGGCAATATTCAACATATGTTTCACTGTCAACCAATCCCTCGAAAAGACCAAAACCAACAATGAATTTGTTCTGTTAAGTATTGTCTGTGCTGTCAAAGTCTGATATATCTTATTCCTCTGTGCCATAGACCTCCGCTGCTCTCCAAAAACTAAAAAAGACATAAATGAACCTCACTGTTGCACTGGTTGACATGTTCACTCATCACGATAAACATGGCGTTTATTTTGAGTCAATCCCTAGTCAATCACTAGTGCACCATATGTACTGTATATTATTTTGCAGATGAAAATAGTCCCCTTACAAATGCACTATTAACTCGTTCGAATAACGTTTGCCAAAAACTGCAGTGTCCAGCTGTGTCAGGAAAGTACTTTTGTAAAAGATGAAACTATAAAGATTTAAATATTCATCAGAAATATATGAACGGACCAAGGTATGGAAGACGGAAAGTACATGTCTGTTTAGGTCTTGTAACGGGATTTACTCTCAATAAGAAAAATACAGGGTAATGCCAGCTTTATCCTTTAAGGTTAAATGGTTTTGATATGGAGCCACATTTTAGCAAATGACAACTCCCCAGTCAACATGGACACGTGTTCCTCTTATTCACTGAATCTTTGGGGTGAAGAAAAAAATTGAAAGCACCATGTTGCCCAAGGCCTGAACAGACTGTGATTCAAGTGTGTCAAATTCCATGAAGCCAGTAGACTTAAAAATGATAAACTAACATGCAGTGCTCCATTATAGTTGACTGACTGTGTTCCTTGCTTCTGGGTCCACATGTTCTCTCCCACTGATCAGTAATTAAATGAATCATTCCAGATTCTCTCTCCTGTCCCTTCACTACTCCATCTTCCTGTCCAGTTTGTCAGTCCTTTTGGCTTTTGCTGTGCAGACAATGTGTACTTATTTATCGTAATTGCAACTTTTTGGATTTCCGACAGCAGAAATAGTTCTCCTGTCACATGAGCAGTACAAATAACATCTTCAGCTCTCTATTGTTGGGCAGCGTTGTGTCTCACCATACCAAACCATTAACCAAATTATGTGGTCTACTCTAAGAAACAAAAAGGGACAATGAAAACAGTAAGTGGCAAAGTATTTGTTAGTGCCTGTTGGTTTGTGGTCCATGTAGTTACAGTATACTGAGAGCATTTCCATGAAAATAGGGTTTAATGTGAGGAGACATTTCAAGAAAACACACTCCTAAGTTTGGCACAACCTATCCAGTGTGCCCTGAATCTTATAAAGGGATTACAGGTTTCTTTTTCTATATTCATAATATTCTGCCCGATTTCTTGCCAAGAATGCATCACCACTAGTCTTGTTTCATACAAGCACTGAACGTTGCTAAGTGGTTTAATAAAAGTACCGCAGAGAGAATTCTAGCTGGCTGTTTGTTGCCTTTTTGTGCATGCTGTCGCTTGGATAATAAAGTGGACATCCAATATGTATTTCCATTTCAGTGCCAATATGTGGCTCCATTTTGTAAAGCAATAATTCTGGTCCAACCAAATAAAAGCGTATCTGTGTCAGTTTCCCATCAACATTACAAATCAACAATGACTTCCCAAAAACTGTACAGTAGGTCTAACTGATGTAGAGATGTATTTGTTCATTATTTTTGTTTATAAGAATGATTTCTTTACACAACATGAAGAGGATTTACATTACATAAAAAGGTGTAGTTCTTGGTGTTGATGGCGAAGCACACACAGGTACCATAATTGGCGTGTGTGTGTGTGTGTGTGTGTGTGTGTGTGTGTGTGTGTGTGTGTGTGTGTGTGTGGAACTTTACAGAATGTGTAACTTTATAGAGCATGCGGAACATGAATGTAATATTAGAATGCAACAAGAATGTTGTGTAAGCTATTTCATATAACAAACATTGGAGAGTTTCTCACTGATTCATTGATTCATAATCACAGTAAGAGTATGACGACGATCATACCTGTGATCTGACATATAGACCAGACATGTCTAATTATTATTTTTGCATGAACCGGAACATTGGAGATACCCTCATAAATTAAGGTGAATCAGTCAGCCATCACGCCCTTTCAGTCCCCCCCCCATAATTCATATTTATTGTCATCCTAAAGAGATTTACACTGCTACTAAAATGAAGAATTACCATTCTCTCATAAATTCTTCAGCTGTGGATGTTATTCTACATATAAAACATGACTGGACCACCATGATTCTGTCCCCCCCAAAAGAGGCGCGGCCCTTATGACGTAATGCCGGTCCGGTCTAAGGGAAAATGGAAAAAGAAGTTTATGGTTGCAAATAACGTATACCCTTTCAACAAAGTGTTGCCTTCCCACTTTGTACATGATGTATGACTTAACGTACATTTGTAGATTTGTTTCTTACATCAAGGGGGCAGGATAATATAAAGGGAATGGAGGATGCAATTTTTAAACCGTGTGACAAAACATGCTGTAAAAGTCTAATTTCTTAGAATTAAGCACTAGTATTTATATTTTGTTAAAAGTTACTTTCATGCCAGTTACCAGATAGTACATAATCATGGTTTCACTGCTGGTATGATCGATTCTTAGGAGAAATTAATTTTCTTCCTTCAACATGTAATTTAATGTTTACTACTACAACCTCTTTCTTGTCGTTACCAGTGACTAATTTCATTCTCATGTACTTTTCGATAAAAGGTTGTGACTGCAGTATATTGACCTTTGCTGGGGAGCATCAACAATCAATATAATGAAAATATTTATTCTGTCCTTACGTGTGGAGCATTATTTGCCAAAATTGTATAGCCCTCTGGTGTAAAGCCAGGCTACAAACCCAGAGGAGTGAAATTCTTTCATGGGAACTGAGCTTCTCTGGTCAGGGGGTGGGTGTGTGGGATAGGGGTGGGGTTAATGCAAGGTGGTGCACAGCTGGGTAGCCTGGGGTTTTATTGTGTGTTGGGTGTGTAGGTTAACTGCAGTGCTTTAACCCTCGTTTTTTATTTCCCAGATTGCTTTGCTAACTTATGGCTGTCTGAGTAGAGTTCATGTGTGCTGAGTTAAAGAGTTTATCAACCCTCCTGTCCTACGCCCTGTTGAGCCATGAACCGCCACCATATCCAGTAATAAGCTTGCTTTCAGTTCTCAAGACTACCTCTGGTGTTAGTCCATGTTTTATCTCTCTAAGTGGGCCAGTCCATTGTACAGTATCTAATAATCTTTTGAATGTCATACTGTAAACTGTATGACAAGATTAAAATTAGCAACAGTATGTGCATATTCCGTTGGGGTTGAATAATTAGCATGATGATCAGTTGTTTTTTGCCTTGCTACAGGCGAGGAATCCAAAAAGCAACAGGTCATCATGCTAAATAAAAAGAAACTGGCATAACTCTGCACAATAGTACAACAGATATTTATAGAAACCAATAGCAGCCACATTGTGATAATTTTTCTGCTATCACAAGATCACAAGTTAATTATCTTGCTATCTTGAGATAGCAAAGTTGTTTTTTCATGATAATGACATCATTTTCTTGTTATCTGGAGAAAACAAAATATAATTTTCTTTTGATAATGGATTAATATTCTTGTTAACTGGAGAAAATGTCTTTTTAATTTCTCAAGATAAGGAGAGAAAATTATCCCGTTATTACAAGAAAACGGCTTTGTTATCTCAAGATCGCAAGATAATTTAACCTAAGATTTTTAAAAAGAATTAACTAACTAGCAACTAACTTCCCTTTCTTGTTTATGAATCATACATTAGTTATTGTGTTGTGAATCAGATAATATATATTATATATTTCATGTCTCAGAGCTGCATTTCTGCCACACAAACACCTTTTTCCTGCCACACAAACATAGAACATGAGACCAAATGGACCCCTTGAAACCCTAATACCCCCTATCACCCTGGAATGTCGCACTAAGTCTACCGTCAATAAGCCTACCCTGGAGCCTCAGTATAAACCTTCTGCAGTGAGCACCAATTATATCGCTCAGAGAGAAAGGCCTTATTCCCACAGTATATCCTGGGAAATATTTCTGTGCAGACATCCTGACCATGCAACTGCAGGTTCAGAGCCCCTACCACGGCTTACAGTTTGTTGTTTGTGTTCTGGTTCATTAAATGAATAGACCTTGTGCCATACAGTGAACATTTTCTGGATACTGATAATTAAAAGACCCTAAGAACTGCTCGGGTCACACAAGCCTTTCCAGACACAATGATATTATGTTGATATTTTTGCATAGAGTATATTCTGTTTTTGAGTCGGGGTAAAAAACATTTACTATAATCAATTTTTAAGGCATTGTGTTATCCTTTGCTTATTGTGCATTATTGGCTTATTGTACCTATTATATTCTTGATTTGGTGCATAAATTATATAAAAAAAGTCGAAATGTAATACTATGTTGCTCAGATAAGATAAATGTTTCTGATAGGGTGTGTCTTTATTATTGATTTATCCTCCACCAAAATATTTGTTATAATTTTGTTTTTGTTTAACAATGTACACAAAGATACATGTAATTAGGTGTGAAGATGCATTAAAGTCTTTTATCTTTTGGTTATAACATAACCAGCATCTGAGCTTTTTTTTGATGCTTTGTGCATGAGAAACAACTATGTTGTGTTTGCAGTGTATGATTTTCCAGAACAACATCCTTTCCATAAATCCATTGATGTGTTGTTGCTCTCATTTTGTGATCAAGTCAGTTGTCCCCTCAGAATCCAACCTGACGTTGGTAAACATAAAAAGTGTGGACCACACGTTTGAAACAGAAAACAGACTGCAGATTTGCAGCCAAAGTGTATCCCAGTGTCAGCTCTGTGATTCATGACAAATTGAACTACTGGATTGTTGCTGAGATGGATGATTAAAAAGGTCTGCTGGGTTGTTTTTAAGTCAAACACTTTAAAATGTGTTTTGAGTGATACTTGTAATATATCGCTCTACAGGGAGCAGCCAAAGTAACTGTTATACGAACAGTACATAAATCAACATTGTACACTGCTGCAAAGTTGAGGCATATCACACTGAACACTGTATTTTTCAGTTATTAAAAAGTTGATCAATTATCAAATTATCCCATCATCTGCTTGAAAAACGCAGGTGGATCAGTTAAAAAAGCAGCTGGAAATCAGGAGAACACATGTAAAACAACACACACTGAGAAAGAGGAGCCACTGGAAGCTAATTAACATGTTAGGTAATATGATCCATCTCGTTTGCAGTGACTTATTTACTGTAAAGTTGAAGTCATCTTTCATGAAGTGTTAACATTACTCTTTTAGTTCTTCTAAATGGTTAAAATGTGTCCTGATTTATCTTACTCAGTCCCAGTCTTTACAGTTTAGGGAAGATCAAAAGTGAACTAGACCTCCACATCTTTGTGATTTTGTCTTTGAAGTAAATAACAATTAACCGTCTTCATCTCTTTTGATAACCTGCACAAGGGAGGAAGAACACTGATGGAGCTTTTTGTCAGTGATATAAGTACCCATAGACAAGAAAGACAATAATATTGATACAGACAATGAAATTGGAGCAGTTTTAACAAGTCATAACTAAATCACAACACTTTTAATGTACTCACTGACACACTGACATGTGGAATAAGGAAAACGAAATCTCACTTACAGCATAATGGTTCCGTGCAAACAAAGACACTAAACTGTACATATTACTACAGTCATCACTCACAGTCAAAGCATGCAGATGGTCATTGTTCCATGACACAGGTGTGTGAGTATGAAATAAAAAAGCTGACATGTGTCTGGCTGTTCACATGTAGCATGAAGCTCATATGCTGTTTTTATCATAAGCCAGAAACAGCAAGACGTCTCTACAATACTGTTCTTTTCCAACATATTTACTTTAGGTGAAGCCTGTAATAAAGATTATGTGGAATTTTACAGCTGATCTATGACCTTGTTGCATCACATATTCTCCACTGTATAATAGTATGCACAGTATAAAAAGAAGAAAACTAAAGGGAAAAGAGCTTAACCTAGTGAAACATTTAAAAAACATACTGTCTTAGGTTAATTGTCAGTCAAATAAAAGGTCATTTCAACAAAGCCTTATGATTACCCTTGAAATAATGCATAGATAAAACATTTAGGGATCTGTCATCTTATGTAATTCATTGCCTGTATAATTGACAAAATCAGACAAAATAAAACAACTTAAAATACTTCCCTATTTTCTGACATTTGGAAGTGCAGACACGCATCCTTCACATATAATTACCTTCAAAAGTTGCAGTGGCTAGCATGTTAGCAACAGTTAATTATTCATCAGGGAAGGGGAGCGAGGTTAAATAAAGTTCCATTTTTCTATACTTATACTTAACTTTTTACAAAATCATTGGTCTGGACCTGAAACCACTGAATAGCATGTACAGCAGACGGGCTAAAATGAAAGGACTACAAATTACTTATAATAAATAAACGTATTATTAATTTATAGACATTTTTAGGTACACTTAATCTTACTGGTGGCATTTTAAAGATTTTAGAATTGACATTTGAAACCACACTAGTGTCTACTCTTTGTTTGTTGTTCCTAACGGCTAAATTGAGTTATTTTGATTGATTGATTGATTGATTGATTGATTGATTTAGTCATGAATATCTTATATTATAGGTAAATGCTTTAAAAACACTATTTCTCCAAGTTTATAGAGAATTGTATGTTGGTTTTATCTGTTATGTGGAAGACTGCAGCTTGAGACAAAATGTGTATCATTATGTAAGAGAGAAATGAGCTCCAATGAAAGCAACAGGAGTCATAATAAATCTCATTCCAGGTTTATTAGTTTATTCAACCCTGTCTATTAAGGCACCAAGTACATTTTCAACGTGCAACAAAGATAATTAAAACACTTTGGACAAACATTTTTTTACAGTTTTTTAAAATATGTACAAAAAATAAAAATAAACTTAGGTGTCAAAGACAAAAACTGTAGAAATATATTGATCAGAGAAAGGAAAACATCAGCTAATGACATTCACAGTAATGTGTCTGAGGTCCACCAGTAATGACTTTGACAGGACTGTCCCATAAATTGAACATTTGCTTTCTCCCCATGCATGTTTAGTCTCTTGACTGCTCATGAATGAAGCAAGTTGATTTATTAACTTCAAAACCTCAGCCTGACTGTGTACCAAATGCTTTACAATATAGCAGGTTACACAACAGAGGTAGTAGTAAATTGAGCATCATTAAAGGCACTAAATAAGAGCTCAAAGTGAAAACATGTTTATTAGCTGCACTAAATAGGTTAAATGTTTCTACTTGTATAACTCTCTACTTGGTGTTTTGGATGATGATTACATTCTCATTTACTTGAATAGGCTTGTCTGTCAGAGCCTTATTCTGATGACATGCCCACAGGGAACTGAGAAGTATATTGTATCAGTGCATGTTGTAGCACCACGCCTGCTGCAAGTACATGTAATTATGTCTGAAGATTTCAAAAAGAATTGAATAGCATGAAGTAATGATTTGATGGCCTTTGGGGTAGATTAATGTTTCCTTCTAACAGTTCTATTTCTACAGCAGAACATCTTGTGGTGAACACCCAAACTGCCTTTTGTTCCATTTCACTTCAGCAGGTCTTCACAATTGTGAAGAAATGACATGAGCCCCATTTTCATTCCATTGAGGTTACGTTCCTTAAAAGATTTGACAATTTTGTGGAAGAATGTTAACAGCTAGTATTGGAGAGAAAGGCTTTCTTTCCCCCCTATTTATTCTTTGGAACAGAACTCAAAAGTGGTGAGATGGTTGCATGCCAGAGGTTTTTACTGTGAATGACAGTGATGGGACATACCGATTATGTGGTTTTGTGCAAATAGACCTTGGGAGCAGTATACAATATTTGGACTGTACTTTTATTTACTTTCAGCACCTTTGAGAATTTAAATATGTGTATTTCTGCTTTTCCGTTTCAGAAATATATATATCTTGTACAATGTTTCAATGATGGATGTTGATATGAAATGTCAAACAATGAGGTAAACGTAGGTAAAAGTAATCCCTGTGAGCAAAAAGCTCTGAATTTTGACCCCATTTCCATTTCCAACTTTGCCTCACATGACTAGCCAACGTCGGCTTTGTCACAGATTTCTCTATACGATTATCTGCTCCAGGCAGAGCACGGCTGAGCCCAGGGACACACTGTTTGTCATTTAACTGCTCTGTCAGCGCTCCTGGCAGTCCAAAGCTCCTGTACTAAAGATGTAACATTGAACCCCGATGCTCTGAGCTCCAAGTCCGGCCAGAGTCACCTAATAGGATGGCTTAGTTAGCTGCAGGCTAACCAGCTACAGTTGGCAGGTAAAATAGCTAACTGCTAAATAAAAGTAGCTAAGCCTAAAAAAAACTATGAATTTGATCCACTTTTAAAAGTGTGTTTTTGTCCGGTGACCAATCATTTTTCCAACCAAAGTTTTGTCTGATTTGTTTTTTGACAATCACAGGGAAATATAATATAATATGAAAATATTCTTGGGGGTGATCAGTTTATCTGCTTATAGGCTGGACTTTTTAGTCAGAATTTATATAGGCACACTTGAATCAGCCTCAAGGGCACATTTTACTGTCAGATTGATGTAATTAGGTATAGAGAATAAATCAATTCACACTTCTTGACGTCAACATTGACAGATTTGAACATGTACCTTCCAAACGATCTTTCTATGAGCGAAACCATAAAACATTTACAACATAGCTTTCACTTTCTGCACAGGAATCTGGCACAAAAAAATCCTCTGAATGTATACTACTCTACGTGTCTTGGGTGCAAAAGTTCACCTTGGAAACAAAACAGAGGAAAAGAAGTGGAAAAAAACAAAAAAAGCTTTTCATTGGACCTTAAGTGTCTTTTTCTTGTGTCACAGAATGTATTTCAGCATAGCACACTCTGGTAACCTAAAAGCCCTTCACGTATGTTCATGTTTAAGGGAGATCAATTCCTTTGATCAGTGCGTAAACCTGGTGCTCTGGAAAAGACGTTATGTGTCAAGCGTCAAGTGCTCCCATTGTGCAATGCCTGAAGACAAGGTTGATGTCCACTTGGCAGGAATGCTAAGAATATAAGTGAGTATAACCTTTTGCTTTGCTGGACATGTGAAAAACACAATGAACAAGATTGTAAAATTTTACCAAGCTTTCCCACATTTGTGCATCCTCACAGAAAAGGAAAGTCTAATTCTTTTCATATCTACATGTTTTTCTGTGAATATCAAGGTCGTCTGCATCTGCACTGGAGTGTTGGTGATTTGTTTATGGGTTTTATACCCACTTATTCCTGTTCAGTGTCACAGGAAGCAGCAAAGAAAAGCAAAGAAAAAAGAAGAAGAGAGACAGTGTCTGGAAACTTGTGTAAGTAACAAGCTGTACAAGTTGTATTTGTTTTTGTTTGAGGCTGCTACCAGTAGTCATCTGGCATGACTCCACACAAGGAACTCATCTAGAGGCCATGATGGAGTGAGAGGATATGCCTCACAGAGGACTGTGAAAGGTGCAGTGACTTACTCAGAGCTCAAAAGCTAATGGAATCCAGGAAAAAA